CTGTAACAGTTTAGTGACAAAACTGAATCTCAACAGATAACAATATGTCAAATCATTGGTGTTTTCACAGAAACAGATAAAGGAAAATGTAGCTTAAAATTGATATAATTGGAAAGGCACCACATGAAACTTGCTCATGTACTTGATGTTCAATAAAAGCTCCAAAAATAAAATTTCCAAGCAAATGAATGTTTTTCAATCTTCTTCAATACAAAACATTTTCCGAAATAAGAGAGTCAAAATTCATGTCACAAAAGAGTCCTGAAGCTGCAGAATGGAGGTTCTGCAGCATTGCTGTTGGAACAGGGAGTATATGGGGACAAGCTAACTACAGCTTCATGGATTTGGTGGCAATGTGACAAGGTCAATGTCCGAGCAATGTGTAGCATTTGCTGCTACAATAGCTCCTTGGCACAATCACAATAAAATGTCTGCATTATCTCATCTGAATAAAAAATCAAATGATATTGGACATAATAACCTGTAACAAAGACAAAAATGGCACAAAACCCATGACAGTTTGAGAGATCATAATTACACTGCAATCTACCTAATTGGCTTTCTGTCTCATTCCAATAACAAATGGCCATTGTTCATTCCAACTGTTGGTTTTGATAAGAACACACTATATGTATCTTTCATAAAACTTTATGGTAGAAAGCTTTCAGCATGTTCAGACTGGTTTAGTATTCACTAAGAGATTACACTTCTCTGTAGAGCACATGTTTGAAAGGCACCTGTAGATGTAACAAGTGATGTGCTGAGTGTGTTGCAGCATTTACAGCATGCCACAAGAATTAAAAAGAAGAATACATGCCTATGTAAAGTTCACTGGCACTGTACAGTTGTCCTTGAAATATTGTATGGTTACATATGCTGTACAAAGTGTGCCTGTAACATTGACCTGCATTAGTGTTCAGTAGTCTTCACGAGGAGGTCGGTGTGTCCTAAACGTACGTATCCCTCAGACCTTCATATTACAGTAAACATGTGACTATGGAAACAAAGTTGATGAGGCTAAGTTCCAGCTGAAGCAATAAATACTATTTCTACAATATTCACTATTAATAGGGATCAATTTCACTGACTTCAAATCATTTCTTGAACAATAGTGAATTTTGTCTACATTTTGTCCACATACAGTTCACCTCCAGTTTTTGCCGTCATTTTCTTGCTGACTTACAACTACTTAAAAGAATGCCCTTCAAAGAACTCAGCTACCTAAGCGATTATAACTAAGACTCCATACGATTATCAATTTTGGTGACATCACTTTGAAATGCAGACACGAAGAAAATTCTTTACATCAATGAAAATAGACCCCTTAAAAGAGTCCAACAAAATGCAAATACTGAATATGTCATGGTTGCAAGTATTGGAAATATGGTGATCGTTACAAAGAAAACATGGAGCTATTTACATGTTCCACAGATGACAACTTGGACAAGGACACATATGGACAATGAGATACATTCACTTTACCCACAACTCAAAAGGCACAAAATTCACAGAAGCCTTGTTGCCTGTACTTGACTTGTCACAGCTAGCTGTACAGGTTGTTAGCCATGGTGGCATCGTTTCCTGGCAACAGTCACCAATCTTTCCTCAGCTCCACAAAAACTAACTCAGGCACAATCACAATGCAATGTCTGTACAACCTCACTGGGAGGTAATGGGGATTAAAAAGGTCATCAGTAAAATATTTATTTTCTAAAAAAGAGAGAAAAATGGCACAAAACTCATGACAGTTTTAGATATCATAATTACACAATAATTTACCAACTCGGTTTTTTTATTTACTCATATGATAGCCATTGTACAGTCCGATTTCTTGGTTTTGAAAAATATGCCATGTCAGCTTTCAGCTTTGTTTCAAACTTGGTGAAATATCCATTAAAAGATATTACACTTCTCTGTAGAGCAGATAATGTGCAAAGCACAGGTAAATGAAGGGAACCAAATCAGGTCGAATGCCTCATAGTTATTAAAGAAACAAGAACATTGTGATAATATGGACAGCCATACAAAACATGAATACATGATCTCTGCACAAGGAATCATATGTTTACATAACACTAGAACTCTGTTATCTGTGGGCATGGAACAGATGTCTTGAAATTTTATATAAAAATGACTAAAATCGTATGATGCTGTAAAAAGCAAATATATAGTCTGGATGAATATGTGTAACAATGAAATGGAAAGGTATGAATTGTCAATAAGTTTTGAGACTTTATGTTGCCTTGGTTGCTGGAAGTGGAAGTGAGTGTTTTTGCAGTCCAAGCATAGCTACGACACCCGTCTCCACTGCACATACAACTGATTACCCGGCTCACATGTTCACACACTGCCTGCTGGCAAGCACACAACAATCTCAAGTATTTCCTATCCAAAACCAAGCAGCTTTTCTTTGGCTTTTTCATATATAAGTTTGAGAAATATTTCAAACTGACTGTTAAAGTACATGTGATTATTTTGCTGTGATGCATTCATATTTCATAATGTTGCATCATCTGTGCCATTTTAATATTGGTGCCAGGAAATTCCTTCACATGCCACATTGGGGATAATATTCAGACTGAAAACAAGCTGAAGCTGTGTGTGGAGACACCTGCATCTAACCAATATATCCCACTCAGTTTGTACATGCACCATGTTCACATGTGTGTAAACTACCTATCACCGTACTCTAATGTCAGTCATTATCACAGAAAAACACAAGTATATATCTCCACATGCTTAAAGACTGTTGACTAAAAGAAATTTGACACTACCCTCTTTGGTTGTTTGGCAAAAGGTGAGTGGCATGAACTTCCAGCAATGTCTCAGAAAGAGTACAAAAAGAGTAAAATGAAATAAACACCATTGGTGATATTCCCGATATTCCTGAAGTACTGACACAGTCTGACATTTGTTGCCAATTTCATTATTGTTGAAATGGCACTACTGAAGTAAGGGGAGAGATAATGAAACTTGCATTCAATCATTTTGCACAGAGACACAGGGTTACACCTATGGCACCCCTATTCCTGACAGAAGGTATACACTGATATACATCAAGGAAACAGAGCGTAAGCTGGCACCACTGTCGGCACAATGTCAGCCTGGCGGCCACCAAGACTAAGCTATCAGCCGTAGTCATCTACTCCCAGCAACAATAAGCCTGCACGTAAAGGTGGTCTCATACCAATAACATAATGAATGATTACACAGCTAATTACAACTGGTATGTCAAAATATACATGAACTGACATTATCTGGCAGTATATGCATTTGTGCAAACCCAATACCATTTGCCTCACGTGAATACACATCTGCTTGTTTATAAATTACACCAATCACAAAGCAGCAGCCATTTGAGGAATATGCAGCAATCATTCTGCAGTTGTAACACATGGAAAACATGCATCTTATATACATTAGCTGGATACAGTTGTAACACATGCTATGGAAAACATGCATCTTATATACATTAGCTGGATACAGTGTATGTGGCTAAACAGAATAGTTATTGTGCTAAAGTGAAATAAATCACTAGCATGGCCCAAGAAGAAGGAACCCTATACAAAACATATACATAACCGATTTGACAAAATGGCAGCACTACCTTACTGGTCAGTGAAGTCTGAAATTAATAATCACAACACTAGTCCTGTAAGTACCTGCAACGGAAGAGGCTAACTAGCAAATGGTGATTAAGCACACAAGGTGTTAGTATGAGCTACAGATGGTGTGCAACAGTAACTTTCTTTTTACAAGCAGTAAGATCTTTGGCCATGTTGCCTGGATGTTCTCAAAGAATATAGAAGCTTCATATCATCTCATTCTGTGGCTAAAGTAAACAACTCACTAATTCTTCAAACTATACCAAAATAAGGATTACAATTATGTGCACTTGTTATATGCAACAGGCATAAGCATATGTTAACTTCCATGCTGCAAGGAGCTACGAGGGGCATCCCAAAAGTAGTTTGCCTACCTATATTCTCAATGTCCAATGTCAGAAAAGCTTCCATTCTATTTTGCAGGAATCATTAGCAAAGCCATATCCAAAATTTCACATATGTGGGTAATGTGGTTAACGAGATACTAGTCATCACAACACATTGGGGTATAATATTTCTTTAAAAATTGCAGAAAGTGAAAAAGGATCTGTCATTTTTTACCTCTTGGATAATGGTATGCCCTCAGATAATTATATCATAGAAAATATGTTCAGTATATTATTGGATGACTTAATCAACATTCAAAGATTTGGATTGCCTGAATCATATTTAGACGGGGCTGTTTTTAAAGGACACCCCCATTTTAATCTTTCAAAAACATTGTGTCCAGATATTCAAGCTGGCACTGTTTACAATATATTGATTGCTGACAGTTGTATGACCATTCAGTATTAGTTTGAACCCTTGGCATCATGTATGAATAAGTGAAAACATTAGAGTAAACTTTGTCCTTATGATTACGTCATCTGAAAGGGGTTCTGTTGTGTCTCCAAAATGAGCTCTTTCAGTAAACATTGGGGGGGGGAGGGGGGAGGAGAGAGAGAGAGAGAGAGAGAGTTATTTTAACAAGCGATTGTAGTTTCAAATTGCATTGCGGACTCTCTCAAACACACAAAATGTTTCTTGCATAATTTTTCCTGAAGTTTGTGATGCATTTATTGCAGATTTTTCATATTTGGGGGGGTACCAAGATAATAAGTCAAACAAAATGGGGGATCGTGAGGCTGGAACAAGGCAAAAGCAATTTGCTTGAGGTTGACAGATAATATGTAGAAAAATATACACAAAAACAGCTGCATTTGTATAATTTTCTAGGTGAGGCCGACTACTTTTAGGACGCCCCTCATATGTATCAGCTGCTCAACCAAGTGACCACAATGATGCCTCCTGCTGTCAGGGAGTGACAGCTCCTTCAATCTCATGCATGAATAGACCTAAGCCTTAACTTGAATTGCCTGTTAAACAGAAGCAGTCCCTGGCCACCAGAAGGAGTGATCTTGACCTTCAATGTTATCTTGTCAGGTGACACAAATCCCTCAAAGCCATATAGGACTACATGAATTATGAAGTCTTCAACATCAGTCTTAAGTATTTGCTTGACAAAACCCTTTGCAGCAGTGGAGCTCAAATAATCACATTAAACAGACTACTGACAGGAGTCAGAATAATGATAAATGTGAGCACCTCCTAAGCTTATTGTGTGCGGCTATAACGACCAGTGATGCTAAGATAATGTTGGTACAAATATATGACTTTTTAAGAGCATATGCTGGACTAAGTATTACACACACACAGTTGTGAATCTAGTTATTCTGATGCATAAGGAACACCTTTTCATATCATTTACTTGGAAGAACATATTGAGCCTTATCCACTACAGACATACTCAGACAAGTAGTTAAGCCAACTGCATCATTACCAACTGGAGAGCAGTATTCAGTCCAAACAAAACAAACATCTGTACCCACCAAGAGGAAATAAAACAAAAATACATGAACAGGCATTAGTACCTTTGAAGGAATGATTAAACACATGTTTGCAAGGCCACTGCAGCCACACAATCAGGACTAGGATATGTAGTTTGTCACAGCTTGTTAAAGTTTGCAAATCTTTACTGAAATAGCAAATGAATGTTGTTGGTATTGATGGACAAATATTCAACATTTCACAACTCTTCATTGAATATTTTGCTGCCAGAATGAATTTGATATTGGTGCTGGCAACTAGCAGGTGTGCATGCGAGCTTCCTCATCTGATATCATCTGTCAAACTTAAAACTGTGAACAACATAGTCTCATGCAGCACAGTCTTTAAATAACACCGTTAAACAGAACTGCACTAGGCGTTGGCATAAATCGGAGAATCAGGTGGTTTTGGCATTTCAAGAGCTTCTTCATAAGATGGTGGCATGTCTCCCTCCAAGTCCAGTGAACCTTTACTCTCAGTGCAGTATTCTGGAGGGATCACATCCACGTCTATTGACTGGGGCATATGGCCATTAGTTCGTGAATTGTTCTGGTTTACTGTCAACAGTGATCTTCTCTCATCCTGCGAGTTGGTGCTATGAACACCGCCATTCCGGTGAGCACCTACAAGTATATAAACATTGCAATGAGAAGCTACAGGTACATTAACATTGCAGAGGGAAGCTACAGGTACATCAACATTGCAGAGGGAAACTACAGGTACATCAACATTGCAGAGGGAAGCTACAGGTACATTAACATTGCAGAGGGAAGCTACAGGTACATTAACATTGCAGAGGGAAGCTACAGGTACATTAACATTGCAGAGGGAAGCTACAGGTACATCAACATTGCAGAGGGAAGCTACAGGTACATTAACATTGCAGAGGGAAGCTACAGGTACATTAACATTGCAGAGGAAGCTACAGGTACATTAACATTTAACATTGCATTAAGATTGGGAAACTACAGGTGCATTAACATTGCATTATGACATACATTGCATTGAGGGAAACTACAGGTACATTAACATTGCAAGCTTGCATTAACATTGCAGAGGGAAGCTACAGGTACATTAACATTGCAGAGGGAAACTACAGGTACATCAACATTGCAGAGGGAAGCTACAGGTACATCAACATTGCAGAGGGAAGCTACAGGTACATTAACATTGCAGAGGGAAACTACAGGTACATTAACATTGCAGAGGGAAGCTACAGGTGCATTAACATTGCAGAGGGAAACTACAGGTACATTAACATTGCAGAGGGAAACTACAGGTACATTAACATTGCAGAGGGAAACTACAGGTACATTAACATTGCAGAGTGAGTGAGTGAGCGAGTGAGAGAGAGTTTAGTTTTACGCCGCACTCAGCAATATTCCAGCTATATGGCGGTTGTCTGTAAATAATTGAGTCAGGACCTGACAATCCAGTGATCAACAGCATGAGCATTGATCTATGTAATTGGGATACGGCGACATGTGTCAACCAAGTCAATGAGCATGACCACCCGATCCCGTTTGTTGCCTCTTACGACAAGTATAGTTAACTGAAGATCAATTATAACCCTGATCTTCTCGGGTCATTGCAGAGGGAAGCTACAGGTACATTAACATTGCAGCAAGAAACTTCAGGTACATCAACATTGCAGTGTCAATTTGTCTACTGGAGGCTGTTAGCCTGGTAGAGAAGTATGTCGTGGTTGCATCCCAGTCAGTTATACCTGTATGAGTGTTAGCACCATTCTCCAGTGTCTGTCCTGGCACGGGTGTATTTAGTCCCATGTCTTGCCGATCCAGCTCCTGAGAGTTGTAGATGTACAAGGCTGACTCTATGGCTCGCTCAGCTCGCCTGTCTCGCAGGACAGAATTTTTCAAACGTATGTATTTGATAAGAATGAAAGCAATTACTGCGATGACAGCAATAAGTGCGGCTGATATTCCAATAATGACAGCAACACTTGGACCTGTTTTGGGTGGACCATCTGGAAAGAGCAAAGAAAAACTGTGAGGTTCCCAAAAATGGAAATGAATATACTGTTTTAAGGTGCTCTATTTACAAAGAGTTAGTGGGACATGGCAAGGGAAAATACAGTGTTCTGAAAAGATATTTCATACAAATCAAATGGATGCTCCTAAAGAACACTGCAGATATGGACACACAAAGAAATAAACAACATGGCTACCGAGGTGTAAAACATGTCCCCAATGCTGTCTATGAGAGGTAGGCAATATGGATCTGGTAGTCAGGTGCTGTGACTTTCCTGATTGCATGTTATCAGATGGCATGGACTGCTGCTTCCATCATCATTCAAAGTACTATCACATACCACCTTCATCTTTTACAGGCCACCACTACATAGGTGAAATACTGCTTGGTTGGAAAAGCAATTTTAACTCGGGCACCTCAAATAAAACAAGCATCCAGGATTTTCAGCAAGAACACCAGAACATTCTGTTGTCACTGTTAATGATCACACAGAAAATAATATGTCTCACCTGATAAAGAAACATTTATTCTGAAATTATAATTCCTCAGGTAAATATCCTCCCTGGAGAGTGTGATCTGAACTGTGTAATCTTTCTTAGCATAAAGAATTCTTGGGCTGGCCTGTTCACACTGTAAGTGCACCTGAAAAGTCATTATAAGAAATTTCAAATCAAGTCTCCATGTACAAGGTAAAGTATAATCAATCTGCCAAAGCTAATACTACTCTAGCTGTATTCCTGAAAACTGACAATGTATTGTCAAGTCAGGGGACAAAGTCGGCAGCATTTGTTCTGAGTGTAAGTGATGTAACAGAGATATGTCTCATTCCCAGAGGCCAACTGGTTGTTAGATCTCCACATAAGAATTGCAAAGAATGCACATTCTGAAACTCAACCTAAATACAGCTCATTTGATTGTTACATGAGGACAACATTACATACAATACGGACCAGAAGGAGAAACCAAGTCTGGCTAGACATGCTAGATGCCAAATTGCCCTGATGTATGCAGAACAATAACAGTCTAGGTCATCTTATTCAGTATCGCGTTTTACAGCTTGCAATAACGGTGCATAAATATTAAAGCCTGATAAACAAAAACTGACACATTTGGGTACAGTATCATTCCAGCAAGAACCATGACCTGTATTGTGTGTGATCATTTAGAGGAGGATGAAGATGTGAATACCAGTTTGGCCACATCCTGCTCAAACGTGCTGTCAGGGGACTGAGCTATAGTCAGGGTGATGCCACAGTTGTTGATGTAGAAACTCTCAAACTTGAGGCTCAGATAGTCTCTGCCTTTCTTAGATAAAGGCTTGAACTTTATCTTGCAAACTTTGGTTGTAGCCTGCTGTATGACTAAAGTGTTTTTGCCAACAACTGATGCACTGTTGCCATCTTCTATATACTTCATCTGTATCCCATCAGCCAGACATGTCGCCTTGTTATCCATCCCATCTGCAGCACAAGCATGTTCACTTTTACAAATGACAATATAGAGCAATTGCTTCCCACAGACTTGTCTACAGCTTACCAACCAAATCTTCATGCCTATGTTAAAGCAGAAACTGCATTCAAACACTGTAGTGATAATCAGGTCAACAGGATTATGAATAAAATTCCCCTGCATTTTTCTGTATGACAGGTGTATTTTCCCACCTGAGCAAAGGCACATTACATCTAAACTGGTCAAGCATTTTCATAAGACTGATAGCCTTGGACCTATCCTGTCCTTTATATGTTACTGCTTTTTGTGTACAGTTTTTATTATACCATTTACTGGCAATCTACCAACTGATGACATGTTGTGTGGTTACTGTCTGTATTAGGTAACACTAGGTTGACACTAACTACTATCAAGAAGGAAATGTCCATCAAGTAGCATGTTTATATACATTCTTACACATGTGCTTTCTCACTTGATACTTTCCACAATATCTTTTTAATTGCTTGTAGTAATCTCAACAGAATTAACAAATTACTCACAACTGTTGTTTTTACATAAAAGAAATTGTTTAGATGTAATGTCTGTGCCTCGGTGTGTACTCACATGTCTGTGCATGTCCACCTGATTTGGTCCAAAGAGTGGCCACAAAAATGAGGAAAGTCAACAGTGTTGTGGGCAACTGCATTTGTCACCTGAAACACGACACACAGAGTAAACTATTGACACTAGTCATAGTTCCATGTTGAAGAGCTAGATATTATCACAAGTAAGTTTCACACGTTGTACATTATATTTTCAAGAGCTAGATATTATCACAAGTAAGTTTCACACGTTGTACATTATATTTTCATAACTTGTCATAGATGACACCCCAAAATTGTTTTTCTTTTCCTCTTATCCTACATTTTGAGAGCAAAATGATCCATCCCTAACTAAATCCTCGATTTTGTGAGTACAAAATATTATGTTTTCTTTAATTCATGATTTCTAATATTTGCTTGTTTGTTGTCTCAGTGCTGCACTCAACAATATTCCGACCATACCAATTACCATGATGGCCAATACACAGACAAGTTTTGACCAGTCAGTCAAGTGAGTGATAGTATGAACAAGTACCAGTAGTGTCATGGTACGATGTCACCCAACTAACCTGGTCACTGAGCCACCCCATCCAACCCAAACCACCGGCAGTTTTCCTTGTATCAAGAGGAAACATTGGCTCAACAATATCTCACAAAATTGTTATTGGCGTGATGAATAATGCCATCTTCAACTATTTGCGACAATTCACTCACATGACACACAATGGCACCTTGGTCAACAATGAAACTAATGGGACAGTAGGAAACAACTTGTTAATCACCATGAAACACAGATGATACTGCTCAGTGAGAACAACTGACAATAATTTCACTGTATGTGTGCACCGATGTTTACTTGTCTACTGCCCATGAAGATCCTGTATTAACTTAACTGTCGCAAACTCATGCTTGTCATAAAAGGCGAGTAACGGGATCAGGTGGTCAGGCTCTCTGTCGTGGTCAATACATGTCAGTGTACCTTAACTGCAGAGATTGATGCTGCAAGAGTTACTTATTGCAGTGTCTGGTCAAGACTTGATTATTTACAAACTGTCCTCACACAGGGGGAACTTTGCTGTGTGCTGCTGCATTATACAACAAACTAAATGTTCATAAATAAATGTTCACAGAATGCTTCCAGTGCTACTCAGATCAAGTTCAGATTCTTCTTACCAAATGTTACTGGTTTACTGGGTTTCTTTGCTCACTAAGAATGTGATATCACAAAAGTCATTGAGTTTATCATCATTAATTTAACACATGAATTACACTGTAAAGCATCATTCACAAAACATGGCAGAAAAAGGTAAACAGGCCCAACAAAACACACATCAGTCAAAAGATCTGAAAACAAAAATACATGCATTAAAACAAATAACACAATCAACACAATAGATTGTGCTATAAACTTTTCTATGGAAATGTAACTAGGAACTACGCACGTTATAACCTTAGACACAATTACCAGTAGGCTAACCTAGAATGTGAAGAATTGCTACTTACGGCACGAGTTCTGTTATTACTAATGTTAATAATCTGACAAAAAATATTGTGTCATAATGAGTTGCAGGCTGTTTAACAACGGCAGTTATGACACATGGGTTGAAGTAGTAAAATATGGTATACAAGAAATGACACACAAGTGGCCCCACTTGACCATGCTGGCGTGATAAACAACAGGCCACAGCAATCAAACGAATATTGAGCACCCTGCTCAGCAGCAGGTTCTTACTTTTCTGAAACTGTTGCCTAAGATCACACATTCCTGTAAGAAATTTACCTTGTGTGATTCTCACACACATTGAGAAAAGATGTTGTGTCGGTGGGAACGTTTAACATGCACCACTCATCATCAACGTACACAAATATTTTATTTCTCTCTCGTAACACTTATCTAGTATGTCAACAAGTGCGCAGTGGCGCCACCTAACGATTCGGAAGAAAGGGGGTTAACTCTAATTAGAACTGAAAACTTGCGCGCAACTTAAAACGAACTTTGTTCAACTATATATCTGTCACTGTCATGACACTGTAATTCACCAAATTATATAGTCAACAGTTTAAATGTGATAAAGATGTAACAACGGTTGATATGCAAGTACATGCTGCCAAATACGAAAGACTAACGCACGCACACGAATACGCACATTATTATATTTTGAGCCAAATATATGTGTGAATATTAGACAGTTATTAGTCAGCAGAATAAAACAGTGTTTTTTTATAATAAAGGGCTAGGGACAAATCATACGTAAATTCGAAATACAGCGAAAGATAAATATGCCCGGAACATATTAAGCCTCACTCCAAAAAGTGTGAATATGCCAAATTGGAGTACATAAGCTGCAGACATAGTGCCCCAAAAGAGCGGTTCCGTCATCAGCATGAATGCCTCTATATCTATGTACTAACATGTATAGCAGAATGGTAGCCTCTATATCTATGTACTAACATGTATAGCAGAATGGTAGCCTCTATATCTATGTACTAACTTGTATAGCAGAATGGTAGCCTCTATATGTATGTACTAACATGTATAACATGTATAGCAGAATGGTAGCCTCTATATCTATGTACTAACATGTATAGCAGAATAGTAGCCTCTATATGTATGTACTAACATGTATAGCAGAATGGTAGCCTCTATATGTATGTACTATCATGTATAGCAGAATGAATACCTCTATATGTATGTACTATCATGTATAGCAGAATGAATACCTCTATAAGTATGTACTAACATGTATAGCAGAATGGTAGCGTCTATATGTATGTACTATCATGTATAGTGGAATGAATACCTCTATATGTATGTACTATCATGTATAGCAGAATGGTAGCGTCTATATGTATGTACTAACTTGTATAGCAGAATGCTAGCCTCTATATGTATGTACTATCATGTATAGCAGAATGGTAGCCTCTATATGTATGTACTAACATGTATAGCAGAATGAATACCTCTATATGTATGTACTATCACGTATAGCAGAATGGTAGCGTCTATATGTATGTACTAACATGTATAGCAGAATGGTAGCCTCTATATGTATGTACTAACATGTATAGCAGAATGGTAGCCTCTATATGTATGTACTAACATGTATAGCAGAATGAATACCTCTATATGTATGTACTAACATGTATAGCAGAATGAATAGCCTCTATATTTATGTACTAACATGTATAGCAGAATGAACCTCTATATGTATGTACTATATGTATGTACATTTATGTACATGTATAGCAGAATGAATACCTCTATATGTATGTACTATCATGTATAGCAGAATGAATACCTCTATATATATGTACTATCATGTATAGCAGAATGGTAGCCTCTATATGTATGTACTAACATGTATAGCAGAATGAATGCCTATATATGTATGTACTATCATGTATAGCAGAATGAATACCTCTATATGTATGTACTATCATGTATAGCAGAATGAATGCCTCTATATATATGTACTATCATGTATAGCAGAATGGTAGATTCTATATGTATGTACTATCATGTATAGCAGAATGAATACCTCTATATGTATGTACTAACATGTATAGCAGAATGGTAGCCTCTACATTTATGTACTAACATGTATAGCAGAATGAATACCTCTATATGTATGTACTATCATGTATAGCAGAATGAATACCTCTATATATATGTACTATCATGTATAGCAGAATGATAGCCTCTATATGTATGTACTAACATGTATAGCTGAATGAATGCCTCTATATGTATGTACTATCATGTATAGCAGAATGAATACCTCCATATGTATGTACTATTATGTATAGCAGAATGAATACCTCTATATATATGTACTATCATGTATAGCAGAATGAATACCTCTATATGTATGTACTAACATGTATAGCAGAATGGTAGCGTCTATATGTATGTACTATCATTTATAGCAGAATGAATACCTCTATAAGTATGTACTAACATGTATAGCAGAATGGTAGCGTCTATATGTATGTACTAACATGTATAGCAGGATGAATGCCTCTATATGTATGTACTAACATGTATAGCAGAATGGTAGCGTCTATATGTATGTACTAACTTGTATAGCAGAATGGTAGCCTCTATATCTATGTACTAGCATGTATAGCAGAATGGTAGCCTCTATATCTATGTACTATCATGTATAGCTGAATGAATGCCTCTATATGTATGTACTATCATGTATAGCAGAATGAATACCTCTATAAGTATGTACTAACTTGTATAGCAGAATGGTAGCCTCTATATCTATGTACTATCATGTATAGCAGAATGGTAGCCTCTATATGTATGTACTAACTTGTATAGCAGAATGGTAGCCTCTATATGTATGTACTAATTTCTATAGCAGAATGGTAGCGTCTATATGTATGTACTAACTTGTATAGCAGAATGGTAGCCTCTATATGTATGTACTAACATGTATAGCAGAATGGTAGCCTCTATATCTATGTACTAACATGTATAGCAGAATGGTAGCCTCTATATCTATGTACTAACTTGTATAGCAGAATGGTAGCGTCTATATGTATGTACTAACTTGTATAGCAGAATGGTAGCCTCTATATCTATGTACTAACATGTATAGCAGAATGGTAGCCTCTATATGTATGTACTAACATGTATAGCAGAATGGTAGCCTCTATATGTATGTACTATCATGTATAGCAGAATGAATACCTCTATATGTATGTACTATCATGTATAGCAGAATGAATACCTCTATAAGTATGTACTATCATGTATAGCAGAATGAATACCTCTATATGTATGTACTATCATGTATAGCAGAATGAATGCCTCTATATATATGTACTATCATGTATAGCAGAATGAATACCTCTATATATATGTACTATCATGTGTAGCAGAATGAATACCTCTATATGTATGTACTATCATGTATAGCAGAATGAATGCCTCTCTATATATGAATGAATGAATGAATGAATGTTCTTTATTTCCACCAATGGTTTGATGAGTTATACATCCAGTTATGTATATATTTTTAGAGCATAACACACATTTGTGACAAAATAGAAAGTTCAATAATATTTGAAAAATTCAACAGAACATAAAAAATCATAGCTCTTGGCAACAGATGATCACTGGGCAATATGTACAAAGCATTGCATGCTATTCTTATAAATACAGAATGCTGGCTAGGTTCCATGCACTGATGCGTTTTGCAATAATGCTCATGAACCTAGCCCAGCTATCAAGGGTCATGTCCTGCACAACCGGAGTAATGGAACCAAGGTATGTGAGGATTTTAACCTCGTCTTCAGCATCTTCGAGTCTCATATACGTGTCAAGAGACACGTTATCAAACAGATGCTCGCTCAGTGCGTTCCTGTTTTCTACCAGCTTGTCACAGTATAGGAGTTGATGTTTTACAATGTCCTCACTTTCAGTCTCGCATATAAGACACAGTCCAAGTGTGACGGGCAGTATACCCAACTTTATCAGAGCATAGACAGGAGGGGTGGCCATGTTATACCACAAACACAGGTTCCAGAGACGATGAGGAGAGAGGCGCGTATGAATGGCACCAAATCTCTGCATATTTGGACGCTCTTGGAGTTTATTTCTCCAGAATGGTAGCCTCTATATCTATGTACTAACATGTATAGCAGAATGGTAGCCTCTATATCTATGTACTAACATGTATAGCAGAATGAATACCTCTATATGTATGTACTATCATGTATATCAGAATGAATACCTCTATAAGTATGTACTAACATGTATAGCAGAATGGTAGCCTCTATATCTATGTATTATCATGTATAGCAGAATGAATGCATCTATAAGTATGTACTAACATGTATAGCAGGATGATTGCCTCTATAAGTATGTACTAACATGTATAGCAGAATGATTGCCTCTATAGGTATGTACTAACATGTATAGCATGATGAATACCTCTATAAGTATGTACTATCATGTATATCAGAATGAATGCCTCTATATCTATGTACTATCATGTATAGCAGAATGATTGCCTCTTTAAGTATGTACTAACATGTATAGCAGAATGATTGCCTCTTTAAGTATGTACGAACATGTAGGGCTGTGTATTGTGCAAATACAGTGTATTGCAATATATTGCGATTCAGGTACCTGTATTGCGATACGTATTGCGATATATTGGAAGCTTATGTGTTTGACAGTGAATAACACTACTTGTGCATGTCAATCCTATTTTCTACATTATAAGTCCCTAAACATATATGTGATGGTTCTGATAACAGCAATCTCAAAATTAGGTTGCATAGTCAGGGATTCTGTTTTCTTTTTTATGCAATTTATAGTATAATAGCCACATAAAGAAACTGTGCATTGTCAAAATATTATCCCAGTTGATAAGTACGATAACAATGTCAAAGTTACATATAAACTTTAATGGAGGGATCATGAGACCATAACAAGTCGGGAGAATTTCAATTGAAAAGTCAATCACAATGACGTCACGAGTCCACAAGCGGGACAGGGGTCAAACGACCATGTCACAAGCTCAATAACGGGTATGTCCACCATCGGCATTGAGAACAGCAATGCATCGACGACGCATAGAGCCTATCAAACGTGCAAGGAAGGCTTGTGGGATGTCACGCCAGATTCTCTCAAGTTCTGTTGCAAGGTCAAGGACGTTATCTGGCGGATGAGGAAGACGGCGTAGACGTCGATCCATCTCGTCCCAAACATGCTCTATCGGGGAGAGATCCGGTGAATTTGCAGGCCAAGGCAGTAAGTCAACGTTGTGATGTTGCAAGAAATCCATAGCAACCCTTGCCGTATGAGGACGGGCATTGTCCTGTTGGAATGTTAACCCAGGGCCATGACGTTGCAGAAAAGGAATTGCCACAGGTCGAAGAATCTGATCCCTGTAGCCCACACCAGTTAAGT